GGTTGTGATTGAAGAAGAAGACTTCATTCCATGCCTGCTTCAGAAGATGGACACGGCGAGTTCCCAGCATATATCCAGCTTCGCGCCTACACATTACTGTGCAAGTACCCCAAGATCATGAGGTGCCAAACGACTCCGTCGATATGAGCTCTTGGGAGTCATCAGCCTGTTATCCCCGGCGTACCATTGTCATTTCAACTTTCATGCTGAGCATCATTGTGCTAGCCTGGGATAGACCCGCACTGTAGAGAGAGATTGACTTGGTGGCTGACACTGTGTCTAGATTGGCGGTGGAGTGCAGAGGTGCAAGCCAGGTGGATACGTTGAGGTGGAGAGGCGGTTAACGGAGACCCAAAATTTCAGCGTTTTTTTAATGCTATTTATAAGAAAACCAGAAGCCCTTTTTAGCCAAAAATTGCATCATTCCATAGAGTGCACACCATACTACTCAGAAGCTGAAAGTGGGGGTTCCCCATTAACCACGTGTGTATTTTTTCACGCTGAGCATCATTGTGCTAGCCTGGGATAGACCCTCACTGTAGAGAGAGATTGACTTGGTGGGTGACACTGTGTCTAGATTGGCAGTGAAGGAGTGCAGAGGTGCAAGCCAGGTGGATACATTGAGGAGGTGAGAAGGAATCAGTCCCAGATGAAGGAAGAAGAGGGAGAAGCACATAAAATTTGAGCATTGTACTCATTCTTTATACTTACGAGTCGGCCCCCCCACGGCAAAGCTGCGGGCCAGAGGCGGGGATGAGACAAAACGCGAAGGAGGGCCATGTCACGGGGCGGGTGGTATAGTGAACTCAGTCAACCCCCCCCCAAAAAAAATAAAATGGAAATCAGCAAATGAAACGACGCCCTGCGCGGTTCGAACGGGCACCACAGGGCGTCACTGCACTGCTCTCGAAATGTGCAAAATGAGACTGAATCCACTGCTAGAACATGGAAAGATACACACGTGGTTAACGGGGAACCCCCAGTTTCAGCTCCTGAGTAGTATGGTGTGCACTCTATGGAATGATGCAATTTTTGGTTAAAAAGGGCTTCTGGTTTTCTTATAAATAGCATTAAAAAAACGCTGAAATTTTGGGTCTCCGTTAACCGCCTCTCCTTTTTTGTCTTTTGCGCATGTGGAGAGTACTGCGGCGACTCCCACAGGCCAAAAAAAGGAAAAACGAAATCAGCAAATGAAACGACGCCCTGCGTGGTTTGAACGGGCGCCACTGGGCGTTGCTGCACTACTCTCGAAATGTGCAAAATGAGAATCCACCGCTACAACATGGAAAGATACATTGCCACAGGCCACAGAAATGCAAAAAAAAAAAAAAACGAGCGCCGTGCAAGAAACTTCCAGAAAAGGACAGGACAAGAAAGAACCCGGTGCACTGAAGACCCGACAAACGCTGCACTGTGTCCAACACGTGACGCCGCATCACACTCGAAAAGGCCACGGCACGCCTGCCGGCTTCTGATGGGCCCGCGCCCCCGTGTCCCGAGCGCTTTCCCAACACTATAAGTCAGGTCTCGCGGGGGTGTTACACCAGACCCACCTTACTCTTTAGTATGGATATGGATAAGATCTTTCCGTGCGTTTTCTCATCTTCGTCACAGTTCTTTGTTGCTCATTGCTATCTCAATTTGGTTGTTGTCATTTATTTGAGACTTGCAAGTTCATGTGAAATTTTATTGGGTGCTTCGAAAGTTGAGAGTCGTCACAGGTTTTTTGTTGGCCAACGTTAGTGTTGTCGAGATGCAGTTGAAATCTCTGAAAGACTCAGAAAGAGAAACAAGGCTGACTTGTCCTTCGGGAAATTGGTTGGTGGTGATTTCTCTATGTACATTTTTACCCACCAACGATAACGAGAAAAGCTGCTACGATTTGATTCAGCTAATTTATGAAGATCATCTTTTTTTTTCTAGCAAAAAAAATCCTTGTTTTTTCGAAGCATCCTGTATTTCAGCAGATAAAGATTGATCTAAAGATTCTAAACTTACGTTAAAATTGGGAACGATACAGAGAAGGAAGATTAACATGGCACCTGTGCAAGGGTGACACGCATAAATCTAGAAATGGTCCCAAGAAAAAAAAAAAGAAAAAAAAAGAAGAAACAAGCCTGATGACAGGCTGACAGTGAATTATTGTATGCAGTTCATGGAACTGTGGTTTTGAAATTTTTATATTATACTTCTATTGAATCAACTTTCCATTTACGGGAAAAAAAAAAAAACGTTCTTAATGCATTCCATAATTTTCCATTCAATCTATTGATCATTCCTGCATAAATGTGTCCTCCTGCGGCAGGGCCTGGGGCTTTGTACGGCACTGTGCTGCCCATCGTCCATTCGTTATTTATCAGAGCCCCAATGTAAGTCTCCTCCCTCGACGCTATGCTTCATCATCCCTTCTCTTGGCACCCCTATTTCTATGGGCCGTTCATCGTCTTCCTTCACTCCTCTAGTTGCGTGCTGCTTCTCTCTGATGGCTTGTCTCATTAAGGTCTGGTGCACGCTGCTGCTTTTGCACACGACATCCCTCCTGTCTTCCCTCCTCTTTTGTTGTGTCCATCTCTCTCTCTCTCTCTCTCTCTCTCTCTCTCTCTCTCTCTCTCTCTCTCTCTCTCGTCCAGTTTCTGCATTCAGTACTTGCCTTCATGTTTCATGCCATATGATTTTCTCTTATCGTGTGATGAGAGGCATCACATCACCATCACCAGGTTGCCCTATCCTGCCGAGAGTCCCGTTCAGTTCCCTATGTCCCATATGGAACACCCTCAAAGAAACAAAAACAAAAAATCTCAAGGTGACCCACCCCACCCGAGTGTTTTTTCAAAAATTTCCCCCGACACCCAACCTGCCCGTCACCCGTAAAAAACTTTCACCCTGACCCACCCACACCCGCGAGAACAAAATTACCCACCCGCACCCGTTACCTAATTATTTTCCACCCGCACCCGCTCATTCCCCATTGTCTCAGTCCCTTCGAACATTTGCATGCACCATAGCAACATGACATCCTTGGATGACGGCCCAAAACTCTGAAGCATCTCTGCATGCGGAAATTCAAATCGCTCCACAAGTTTGAAATTGGCTAGTGAACCTAAGGCTGGCCACTTGCTGTGGTTAGGTCCGATCCCCATTGTTTTAATGGGAGCGAACATCTCGTTGTTTGGGGCATGGTCCAGCTGCCACCAGTAGAGCGTGACACATTTTTTCAAGGAGGACCCCAAATTTTGATTTGCCACTGGCGCAGGTCTTTTTTTTTTAGGACCACAACTTCTTTTCCCAGGGGCCCCAGGGTGGAGACTTTCCGTTTCCTGGGCCTCCAACCTTTGAAGTCCACAGATGGACCGCAGCTGGGAAATATGTGGGGGGGGTGGGGGGGAGGTTCTTATGGGTTGTCCTGGGTCTGTGGGTCGGATGACCCAGGCCTAGCGCTCACCCGCTTGTCACCCACCCATTCGGGTGACCCTGGCCTAACATTGACCCGCCCGTCACCCACCGAGGCTTGCTCGCCTAGACCCACCCTCATCCCACCCATGCCAGCTTATCAAGACCCACACCTGACCCAATGCCTCGTGGGTGCGGTGGGTGCGGGTGGGTGTGGGTCTGGGTACCCATTGCTCATCTCTGCCGCTGCATGCTCCGTCCTCTCAACCCATGAAGGGCTTGCACTTCATCATGATTGTTTCTTTGAAATTCCATTCAAAACATTATTCAACAATGCCAGCAGAAGTTGAATTTGATGATTGTGATCCGGAGAACTCTCTGCGCACGTCCTGACTCCTGAGCACCAACAGGAAGCTCACAGGAAATCCCATTGTGGTCACAACAGGTCTGCTGGTCAAGCGCCTTACGTCTGTGGTAATGGCATGCATGTGGTCACATATTATGTGTGTCATGATGTCATCCTTGCACAGTGGACTTGCCATTTTTTTATTTTATTTTTTTTAATTTAAAAGGGCGATGGCCTTGAGGTATTATCATCGGACTAACCAGCCCAGGTAAATTCAATATTGTGTCTAATCTGACATCGGGTGGCCTTTTCAGCCCAGGGTGGCCTTGATTGCCTCCAGTGAACCCCCAATGGGGGACACCGGCCAGGGGACAGCCGGTAGCAGAGGGACCGAGCATCATCTGAGTGGCCAGTCGCTGTGCCTCCCCGATTACCCCTCCCCCTATGAACATCAGCAGAGACTGCGTTTTTAATGCCAATTGGGGGGACCAACAGGCTATCTCTAGGTGGCGGGCACCAAGCATGCCCAGGAAGGTACATGAGGCCAATGGGGATTGAACCCAAGACCTCCTGAATGCCACTTGCATGCCTTACCAACTAAGATAGGCTGCTGGATGACTTGCCAATCTTCTCTATCTTGTTCCTTTTTTTTTTTTTTTTTTTTTTTTTTAACGTTGTTCCGATTTTAACAGATTTCCCGAAGGACATTGGGGCAGAAGGTTTGAACAAAAAGAAACTGAAAAAGAGAGGAAAAGCGAAGGGCACAGAAGAAACGCTCAAGATACGACAAATCTGCGATGAACTTTATGAAAAGTTACGTGAATAAGAAGTAAAACACACAACAAGAACACACTCCGTTTTGCTATGTTCAATCTTTCTTTCTTGTTTCATTCATAGGATATGTTGGACGGGAGTATGATAAATTGAGGGTATACTCATACTAGGCCTTTGTTTTCAAGCTCTGGACGTTATTGCGGTCAGATTCCTCCAGGTCTGGTCGTAATTGCGGTCAGATCAGGGCTGGTCCCCAGTTGGACCAGGGCCCCCTCCCCCGTCCGGGAGCCGGCTGGTCGACCAGCCGGGCAGACCCCCGGTCGAGTCCCGCGCATTAGGCTGGACGTGGGATACCGGCAGTGACAGGCATCCCCACAACCACCCAGCCCCCATGAGGCCGCGACTTCCTATTAAAAAAAAAAAAAAAAAAAAAAAAAAAAAAAAAAGGTCTTTTTGGGACCCACTTCTGGTAAACAAGGAGCGGAGAATCTCCGCCGCTTATCTGTGCAGATCAGTGGGGGACAACTGTCGGGCGTGTTTTCTAAACAATTGGGGGTCCACCAGGCCCTATGTTTCGATTTGGCATAGTATGGTCCAACAAACCACGGACTAGAAGCCATTGGCAGGACATACTCGTCCATTCTCAGCCACGAGGGAGTTGTATGCAAGAACAGTGACTCTCCTGAGGTTATATGCTTCTGCAACATCACTAAGATCTGGGGAAAGAGTTATGGGTTTGGGTTTGGGTTTCGGCTGTGTCTGAGGTGCAAGCCGAAGAATGGACCTAAGCTGTATTTTTCGCTCAATCTATCTGGAATGGACCTGGCTCCAATACATGTATCTGGACAGACTGTCAGGCGAGATACTTATGGACTAAGGACATTGATGACCCAGCGTATGTAAAAAAAAACAAACAAACAGAAAACGCTCTGCCTGCACGACCTGAAACCTGCACCCATAATTCTCTGCTGTCGAGATATACTCTGGAAAAGCTATAAGTTTTGGCAAGGATCCACTCGTATCGTGTTTCTTTTAGCTGCAGGATTTGGACGACTGTTGTCGTAGTCCAGAATGCCCTCTGCTGCTGAAATGAAGTTCTTGGGTGACAGGGGGTTTGATAAGTAACCTTGCTTACTTGACCCCTCCCCCTGAAAGCGACACCTCCATGAATATCCCAATAATATCTCCACCAACCAACCCCTGGGGCAACCCAAAAAAAAATATGGACCTTTAAAATTTTATTCCGGATTTCAACAGTAGTATGGATTCCGTACGTCTGGGCCTAAGTCCTCCTCCATGTAAGCACAGATTCGAACCGGCGACTTCAGCCTCAAGAGCCAAGTCTCTTAACCACTACAGCCAGGACACGGTGTTCAAAAGTGGAATCGTACCGGTCGTGATATCCACCCCGCAAAAAAAAAAAAAAAAAAAAAAAAAAAAAGGAATTGGACTTTATTAAAGTTTATTAAAAAAAAAAAATTCAAAAGTTAAAAAACCGGTTTCCCGGTTCACCCCCCCGGGCTGGTCCGGCTCCGATTGGACCGGGCAAGCTGAACCGGCTGGTTGCCGGCCCAGCCCTGGGTCAGATACATTTAGGAAAGTACTAGTGTGAGGACGCCCTCAGAAGCGGGCTTGTTTCATGCGTTGAGAACATCTCAGAAAACAGCAAAAGAATTGTTGTTGTACACAAGGCCTGAGTACGTGTTCACTGCACCACGGTGATCTGTGCTTACTACCTTCTTCCCCCAAGCTGTATTTGGGGTATCTTTCTGTCTAAATACAGATATAATGACAGTTCGACGTACGTTGTATTCAGGGGAAGAAGGTAGCGATTCTAATCATGTTCTTGGGTTGCAGAGAACAATCCAAAGTGAGTCGTTGCGGCACCGTTCTCTTGAAGTAGGTTCGCATTGGACCGATGTTCTGCGAAACACAGAGCGGTAATCTGTGTGACTCAAGCTCATATGGAGTCAAGCTCACTGTGTGTAAGAACTGACGGACGCCTGGGAGAGGTAATCTCCTTGAAAAAAAAACGAGAATGTGAAATGCAATGAGCACTTACCAGATATCCAGTGGGAAAAATGGAATGCAGTGGGAAATTTCAAATTTGCCGTTAATCACCTGGGCAGGTTCTAAATTCGACCCCATATCCGCTCACGTCGCTCCAGTCGCTCCACTTGTGTTAAGTCGTGTTCACCCGCTTAGAGGGAAGAACTTTTTTAACTTTCTCAATGATATATCACCATGTTTCACCTCTTCCCTTCCCCACTTGTCCGTCAAACCGCTCTCCGAAACGCTCTCCGAATCGCTCTCGCAGACATCTCGATCACCTTGTTTCGTGCCACACCTTCTGGAACGGTTGCTATGGGCCTCGCTGTACCAGTCACCAAATGTGCAAAAATGAGTAAGAACCTTCCGTTAGAACGTGGAAAGATACACGGCCAAAATTTTCGTCTTTTGTGAATGTGATGAGTAGTGGAGCAAGGGCCTAAATAATGCAAGGATGCACTCGTGCATTCTATTATGGACACTGCACCCTAGACCGACAAATGACGATGGATTTGCTATGCTGTCAGATTAAAAAAAAAAAAAAAAAAGAGCAGACCGAGGCTGAAAGTTGAAACCCAGAATGACAATTAAAAAAGAAAAAAAGAAAAAAAAAAGAGCAGACCGAGGCGGAAAGTTGAAACCCAGAACGACAATGAATCAGCACTTTTCATGCGCAGAAGACTGATCGCTTGCTCGTACTTGTGTTGCAGCATTCCACATCTCAGAGGTTTGGTCCTGCGAAAAAATTGCCTTCCCGCCTTGACCCAAACAGAACGCCTGGTCAGTATCCCCGTATCTAGACTGGAAGTTGCACCCGATACAGCTATAATTACCGGGCGTTCTATTTGAGCGAAGATGGTACAGAGATTGAAACAGAAAGGATTCTGTACAACTGTCCTGCAGAGACTGCCACACAAAGGATTCTTAACGCAGAGGAGACCAGAGATGATCGCTACCTTCTTCCCCCGAATACAGTGTACACCGTACAGTCATTATTACTGTATTTTTTTAGACTGAAAGATGCTTCAAATACAGCTATAATGACCGTGCGTTGTATTCGGGGGAAGAAGCCCCCGAATACAGTGTACGCCGTACAGTCATTATAGCTGTATTTTTTTAGACTGAAAGATGCCTCAAATACAGCTGTAATGACCGTGCGTTGTATTCGGGGGAAGAAGGTAGTGCTAACATGCATGTTGCGACCTTTTCCTCCTCTCATTGATAGTGATTTGATGCCCCTGCGCTCATCAACAGGCACGCATTACTGAAATCACACGTAGTAATTTACCGAGGAGTCGTCAACCTCACATCTGTTCGTCAGCGAAAAGACACCGACAACATACATTTGGCAAATCCTTCTCGCTTGCACAGTCCGATGTACTTGAAAACTTTTCCAAGTTAGACTGCAAATTTTTTTTTTGCCAGTCATGCAGTTGAGTTATCATAGTATAACTGCAAAAAAAAATAATAATACAGGTCGAAAATGTTAGCACCGACTTCTGTCATCGTGTTCATGTCAGACGATAGTTCGGTAAAGTCTTGTGTGTTCATGATCCGCAAATTGGTGTACTCGTTCGGGAAAGTCTTTTGCACCCTATACAGAGTTCTTCCTGCCAATAACGGACGAACGACCACACATTCTCATTTTGCAATATATGTGCATGTCTGTGTGTGCAGAACCGCATTACGCAGCGGGTGATGCAATCATACATGAATGTGGCTTGTGAATGCCTTGGCCCATGGAGGGGCTGAACGAGGACGAACAACATATATTGACGCTGGCCCTTCTCCAGCTGAGAGCTTTGAGGACATTAGCGCATGTTGATGATCCGTCGTCGGGTACGATAGAATTCATTTGGACACACCTTATCGATATGACGTGAGACTCGTTCTTAATACCCAATAATTATGTAAATACTAAATATGTTTTTCTCAGTCCTCTGTCTGACTTATGCAAACAATAAATGCCTGTTAAGACGCATGGCTACACCGACCGTTGTCCCCCTAGAGCGTACGTAAACTCTGTCGTGTTCTTGACGAAAAAAGAACTTGTCTGTGATCCTATACGCGTAATCTCTGCCGGATTCTTCACAAAACTTGCCAGTCATCCTCGGCACAAAGACAATGAAGCCGTAAAGAAGTGGTACGGAGACTGAGAAACGGAGAGACAGAGAGACGGAGAGACGGAGAGACGGAGAGACAGAGAGACGGAGAGACAAAGAGACGGAGATGGAGACGGAGACAGAGGGGGGGTAGCGGAGGTATATTTTGTATGGAGTAACTGAGTATGAGATTTTAATGGTGGCTCACCGTGGCTGTCAGAACTTTACTCGAGAAAGTACACGAACTGGGCACGTGTGACAGTAGACTTTAGGGGTGAGAAACGGATGTGGTATGATTCCCTGGTAGCGTTGACGAGAGTTTGAAGTACAAAACCAACAGTCCAGAAAATGGTCTCTGTTCTTATGCGCGCGAGCATGAGAACGACAGAAATAAATTATTAAATTAACGTATGGAGCTTCCGACCAATCTTGTTGCGAACGACAATTCGCAACTGCTACCAGCAGAGAGGGTGTGCTTTTTTCACAGCTGATAGTGCATTGGGGGCGGTCATGTCGATTGGGGGTAAGAAAAGTCGTAGGCACTCGAACATAACAAGTGGCAATTGATAACCGCAAGGGAAATATGTGGGAAAATGACATATAGGCACTTTGGGACAATGAGCGGCATCCTCGTTTGGCTTGTGAAGGACGCGAGCTTTGCTTACAAATGTAGGTCGAGGAGTGAATCTGCAGTAAAAACTGGTATCACCAACTGCAATGACAAGGGTGGACTGTCATGGAAACTGTGGTTGGTGTCAGTCCATGCCATCAAGACTCCAAAATTCCAAATGGATAATGGTAGAGCCGATCATAAAAGCGGAAGCTGTTCAAAGGACAAAAAACGGCAACCGGATGAGCCCATCTATCAAACCTGTTTGTATAAGTACCAAGCAAGTACTACAAAACAAGCAATGCCATGTTGAACAGGCACCAGTGTACAGACAAACACAATCTGAAACTTTCAGTATTTGAAACTGGTCCCAAACATCGGGAACTGATACTTGCAACGAAGTATAAAACTAAATCGTCTGTATACGTGATCCTATGGGCGCTCTTGCATTTTCTTGTATTTACTTCGGCCTCTCACTCAACTCACTCACTCGAAGAGGCCGTACGAGATAGTCCCTAACGACTGGTCACCCAGCTTCCCATATGCAATGTACTCATCGCACGCAGTCATAGTCCAGGCTGCAATAGCAGCAGAAAAAAGTCCAACATCCAAGCGCGAATCCGACGTTCAACACGACGCAGCAATACAGAAAAAAGTCGGAAACATATTTAAAAACGCTTTAAAGTTTAAACATCAAACTTCAGAGGAGATTAGAGCCGGAAGCTCTCTCTCTCTCTCTCACACACACACACACACACACACACACACACACACACAGAGGGGCGATGTGGTGAGTGCTTATCCATCAATCAATTGCATCCTGGGCAGACTGTCGAGATTTCAACCTCCTGATGAGTCGGTAAAAGTCCGACAAAACAGTCTGGCACAGTCATGCTTTTGTTTTGGGTGTATAGCAAATATGACAAAACACATATACTCTCTCTGTCTCACAAAATTATGACGTCAAAATCCGACATCCCGTTGCGTCAAAATTATGACTAAGGTTCTTGACAGTGCTGACTGAGCGGATGGCAGTGTGGAATTGTGGATGACGCAACGAGCGGGGCGGGATCAGTGGGATGTCGGATTTTGAAAGTCGAACGCAGGCCGAATGGATTTTTTAAATTCACCCACCGTAGTCACTCTAGCTGCCGTCTCAGCCCGGTTTGGTCTTCCAAACCGGGGCCCAAAGATGACAACGATAATTTATAGGGGCCGCCTGGGACCCAAACAACCCTCCCAGGCCGCCTGTACAAGGTAACCGGCGAGCGACCAATGAGACCCGCCAACAACCCGGTTACGTGGAGAAAGACAAAGGTCAGCGGACGCCGCAAGTAGCAGCGATCCAGCAAGGATCTAGTGAGGACCACGCAGCCGCTTCAACATCAAGTGATGGAGATGTGGCGGCAACAATACCACCGCAACGCTCAAGACCCCGTGGGGGAAGACATAAGGTGAAAACAGCATCGGCGGATGAGCGAGACAGTCACCATGGACCAAGTTTGGGATCACCGAAGACATGTTCAAGTTAGGGAAGAGATGAGGATGCTGTTTATGGTGCAACAACACCAAACAGATCACTAGTACATGCCAGGACAAGGACAAAGAAAATGTCAAGCGTCCAGGCTCGGGAAACTGAGCATCGTGGGAAGTGCAGCGACATCACTTCCCAGTCCGCTGGACTCGGCTGCCTTGCTAGCAGCCTCTCTCACGTCCAGGGATACGGCGGCAGTCGCAAGTTCTCAGATTGACTTCGAGAACTATGTTGTCCAGCTGGTCCCGCTGTTGAACCAGCCTCTCCATATGCAAGATTCAAGCGCGTGCGCGGTGTTACCGCCGTCGGACAACGAACCGGTTGCTTCGCCAGCCCTTCTATCGGAGGATTCGTCAACTTGGGCGAGTCTTGAGGAACTCGACCCGTTGGCGGTTGAGGACTTCCAATGGTCGCCTCTTCCCTCCACCGGTTCGTTGCCAACACCGCATTACAACGCCCTGATGGCACATTTGCGCGAATACTTGCACGCTGTAGTACCACCTCCATCGACGGATGACGGAGTAGCGGTTGTTGACCTTCGCAGTTATCTGGTGAAGATCGACCGCGAGCACGCAATGCAACGGTACATCGACAGCGACGCTCCGCTCCTCTTGATCCGCATTCAGGTCGGAAAGGCGATCTGTTGTGCCTTGATCGATTGTGGAGCGATTCGCAACTACATCAACCAAGACTTTATGGCACGCGCCGGGCTTGGCCCACGCGTTCGAAGGAAAAGTCAGCCTACGCACATCACGTTGGCCGATGGTCACACGCAAAAGTCAATAGACCGCTGTGTTGATTCCGTGCCCGTGTACTTTGCCCCGCTAGCATGCGAGGCAGTGTCATTTGACATCTTGGATACTAAGTTCGATATGATCTTAGGCATGTCGTGGCTGCAAAGCGAAGACCATCCGGTAAACTTTTTCCTATGCACCGTTAATGTTCGTGATCGGCGTGGCGAACTAGTCCCGCGTACGGTGCCGCTTCCGCATCCTTCGATTGGTTGTCACGTGGTCTCCGCGGCGAGCATTCGCCAATCCATCAGCCGGCACGACATCGAGGAGATGGGCATCTGTTTTCTTCACTCCCTCCCACCCGTTGATCAGCCCAAGACGGACACATCGGACCCACGCATCATTGAGTTTTTGGACAGCTATGAGGATGTCTTCCAAGCTCCCGCTGGAGTAGTATCGGACCGGCCCACACGCCACGGGATCACTCTCGAGGGCGGCGTTGTACCTCCGCACGGATGCATTTACCGAATGAGCGAAGAGGAGCTTCAAGTGCTTCGGGCACAACTAGACTATCTCTTGGCCAAGGGCTGGATTCGCCCTAGCTGTTCACCATACGGTGCTCCCGTTCTCTTCGTCTGGAAGAAGAACAAGGACCTTCGTTTGTGTATCGACTGTTGGAAACGTAACGCGCAAACGATCAAGAACGCCGGCCCTGTCCCGCGGATCGATGATCTCCTCGAGCGACTAGGCGGCGCCAAGTACTTCTCGAAGCTGGACCTCAAATCAGGCTATGACCAGATCGAAATCCGCCGAAGAGAACGGTACAAGACCGCGTTGAAGACGTGGTATGGGCACTTTGAGTGGATCGTCATGCCATTCCGTCATGCCATTCGGTCTCACCAATGCCCCGACTACTTTCCAAGCGGCTATGATGACAGAATTTCGCAACCTGCTCGACCGCACCGTACTCGTTTCCCTTGATGACATCTTGGTTTATAGCCGGTCGCTGGACGAGCACCTTCGCGCTGTTTTGGAGCGGCTCTGTATTGCCAAGTACAAGGCAAACCGCGACAAGTGCGAGTTTGCCCAACAAGAGCTGGAGTATTTGGGCCATTACGTTACGCCGCAAGGCATTCGTCCGCTCGCGGACGAAGTACAAGCCATTCACGATTGGCTGGACCTCGCGTGTACTACCGACGTCTGCTCCTTTCTCGGCTGAGCATCATACTACATGCGCTTCATCAAGAACTTCCAACAAATCGCTGCACCATTGTCGCGACTTCAGTCCCCCTTGGTGCCCCTCGAGTTCAATGACGAAGCCTGGCACGCGTTCCATACGCTGAAGATTGCTTTGCTTCAAGCTCCCGTCTTGAGCATCTATGACCTGACCTTGCCAACCAAAGTGACTACGAATGCTTCCGGCTACGGCATTGTCGCGGTTTTGGAACAGCATGACGGCACAGACGGGCATCCTGTTGAGTACTTCAGCCAAAAGGTGCCGCCCATCAATTCCCTTGATGATGCGAAGAAGAAGGAACTGCTAGCTTTTGTCACGGTACTTGAGTGTTGGCGTCCCTTTCTCCTCGGGGGTCGGCGATTCACGTGGGCAACGGACAACAATCCGTTGACTTATTACTAGACGCAAGACACGGTGAGCAGCACGATCGGTCGCTGGATGTATTTCATTGACCAGTTCGACTTCACCTCCAAGCGTATTCCTGGCCCCTCGAACAAGGCAGCGGATGCTCTCTCGCGAAGACCCGATCTTTGCGCCTTGGTGCACTCCACATTCGGCCTCGACGAGGAGCTGCAACAGCATTTCGTACAGCTACAAGTCGGATCCGGGATTCTCCACACTCTACACGGACTTATCATCGGATCACCAGCCGGCAAGCAATTATCGCATTGTCGACGGCTACTTGCTTCTCCATACGCGAGGCAAGTATTTTTTGTGTGTTCCCCAAGACCGCATCTTGCGCACTCGTCTCCTTGGCGAATACCACGATTCGCAGCTGGCAGGACACCTTGGCGTCGCACACACACTTGCACGACTCCGCCAGCGTTTTCACTGGTCGGACATCATCAACGACGTCAACCGGTACACTCAGTCATGTGCAGTTTGCCACTAGAACAAAGGGCACCATCAGCCCCCGTACGGCGAACTGAAACCATTGCCGAGTCATCGGGAACCAGGTCTCTCCATTGCTATGGATGTGACCGGTCCTTTCCCTCGCGATCACCTTGGCCATGATGGTATTCTCACGGTCATCGGCCGTTTGAGCAAGTACGCTCAATTTCTTCCATGCAAGTATCATGCGACGGCTCCCGAGCTAGCACGACTCTTGCATACCAGCTGGTTTTGCAGGCACGGTGTCCCGGAAGACATCGTCAGAGACTGCGACACTTGTTTCATGTCAGTCTTTTGGACGACACTCATGGTGGAATCCGGAACCAGCATGAAACCGAGTTCCGCGTGGCATCCCCAAACGGATGGGCAAACCGAACGTGCGCACCAGACTGCGCAGATGATGCTCCACACACCCGCCCGGATCATCAGGACTGTGTTGACCGCCTTGCCGACATTGAGTTCTTCGCAGACATTTTGCTTCCACGGGCTGCCGATATGGACGCCGCTTGCTCCCCCGCTTCGACATGGAAGTACAGGGAGCTGCTGGCCAAAGCCCACACAAATATGCAAAAGGCTCAGGTCCGTATGCAGCAGCAAGCGAACCGGCGTCACATCCCATGTCCAATCCGTGTCGGCGACCTTGTTTGGGTCACCTCCGAGGAATTCGCGCTTGAGAAGCACGTCTCGTGCAAGCTCCTCCCTAAGTGGTTTGGGCCATGGAAGGTCACTTCAGCAGCTGGCGACGACCCCTTGAGTCCCTCGTTCGTGATCGAGATTCCCCCGCATTTGACGGTCCACCCAGTATTTCACGCTTTGAAGCTGGCAGTCTACACCCCAGCCTCCGCAGCGGACTTCCCAGGCAGACGGTCACACCACCCTCCTTCAATGGATGGTCACCAAGTGGTCGACCGTGTCCGCGCTCATGGCAAGCACGGCAACAAACCGATGCAGTACAAAGTCACATTCAAGCAATGCGATCCCAACGACACATGCTGGATTTCACGAGCTGACCTGAAGGCGACAGCATCTCTCGTCGCGCATTACGAAAAACAGCGACTTGCGAAAGAGGCTGCCCAACCCGGCCGCCCCACACGGACGTCGGACAGACAGCTTCACCCTCGCAGGGAGCTCGGTCATCAAGGGGGGGAGCGTGTGGCATACTGATACCACACGGGCCCCAGTTAGGGCCGGTTCTGTAGTAGGCACGGGTTAGGCCTAGGTACTGGGTCACAACAGTCCCAGCTAGGTCCAGGTAGGCCTAGGAACCGTCGTTTTTAGAGTCCGGTAGGCCTAGTTTTAGACCCCACCAGACCCAACGGCTAGTTTCGTTAGGCCGGTACCAGTCCATCGGTAGGACCGGCCGGCGGCGCAGTTTAGGCGCCACTTTTTCAATTTTCAGATTCAGATCTGAACCGTTGATCGGATCAACGGTCCAGACCCGAAGGTACCAGCAGCAGAGAGGCTGGCCCAGCGCTATATCAGCTAGGTACCAGCCTCAGTAGGAAGTTAGTCTACAGGTTAGACAGCGTTTCGGTTGGCATCGCAGAGGAGCAGGGAGAATTAGCGCAGCAGAGAGAAGGATTGGCGCAGCAGCAGCGAGTAGCGCTGGCCCTCCGGCTCAGCCCGCAGCCCAACGCCCAGCATTGCAGCGCCATAACTGCACCGCCGGGCTCGGCCTCAGCGGACATCACCCGGGACAGCGCGGCCTTTCAGGTATCAGGGAGAAAGGCTCCGCCTTTCCTCCTTCTTCCTTCTCTCCTTCTCCGCTCTCTCTCTCGCTCTTCTCCGCCTACCCTTAGTCTAAGTCTACTTCTGGGGTTACTCCTACTGGACTACTATGAGTAGGAAGGATGGTTACGAGGTCTGATGACATTGGAGATAGCAACATTGAGACGGCAGGTTGAGGACTACTTTGGGATCTGATTTCATCTTCCTCTGGATATGTATCTTGACATTGTGAGATCGATATCTGAGACACTGTGAGACTCTGTATTCACGACATTTTGGATTTTCGCTACTTCTGACATTTCGAGATACTATTTTTGGAAACATTGAGTTGATGTCATCTTCCCTCTCCTCCTCCCTTCGTCTCTCCTCCCCTCCATTCATCTGTGTATGAGAGTTGGCCCTGGTCTTTTCTTCCATGTCCAAGGCCAGGGCTTTCACACCACCGATGTATGTTTGTGAGGGATTGGTTGCAGTCTGAGTCAGGTTTGAGTCAGTCCATGTGTATCGTCTTCCACTGTAATTGTACTTGCTCTGTATTATCTGGTCGGTTCTGGGAATCTGCGCCATACTTATGACTGTGTTTCACGAGTATGCAACAGAAGTGGACAATTACGAACGAGGATAAACCAAACTGCAGCATTCCATAGAAATCCAGATACCTTTGAGCCCGAACTAAAAGAAGATTACACCACAATATAACACCAAATAAGCAAGAGCAAAGCATTGTAGGCAAATGATAATGAAGGCTCTCTTCTCGTCTCCAAAACGGATGTCAACAATGTGGCTCTCCAAGTATGGCGCTCGGGGCCCAGACTACAACCAGACAGACAGCTCCTGTCGACCTAGGCTTCCTATCTTCAACAGGTCTTCCATGCAGTACAGCAGCCCGATGACGAATGAAGACACCGAACGAAGCGGCCTGCTCCTCATCACCGGGTATGCACCTCCTCACATCGCCTTCTCTGCCTGTCTTCCCTTCCACAGTCCCGCGCCCTGGGACCTCTGATCAACCTCCTCCAGCTATGGGAACAGAAGCCCGGCTATGGCTGCTGTGTCCTTGCAGCTTCTTCCACGTGCCGCGCCAGCGGCCTTCTTCCACCTGGCCTGACTCTTGTGCAGCAAGACAGCGTTGCAGCAGTGCTGCCGCCGTCTAGCCAGCCAGAATGTGGCGAGTGAGTGAGCCTCGCTTTTTGTCCTGTCTGGCTGGGCGGCCTCTGTCCCAGTAGCTGCACCCAGGACCCTTCTACAATCTGCCTGGGGCTCAACTGTACGTGCCCTGGGCCTCAGCATCTCTGCTAGGCCTCCAACATCTTCAACTGGCTAGGCTACCAATTGGTTGAAGATGCTGCACGCAGCAAACAACCCACGGGCCGCCTCGACATGGGCCCCTTCGATTTTGAGCAGGCTTGCCTTCACTTAGGGCTTGGATGCCCTTTGTTAGCAGGCTGAGGGCCCTTATGCTCCACACTCTCTCCCCCTCCGATCTGATAGTCCTCTGAGAATTCTTTAATTGCCTACCTTGTTTCCCCTTCAGCATTCTCTCATAGGTAGATAGGACTTGAGGCGCTGTCTTCATCAGCTCCTCCCTAATGAACCATCGATCGTCTTTCGGATCCGTATGATGCCTGAAAGCGACCCGGTACTGCATTTGCTGTTTTGGCGGTCGTCCTCTGCCGACAGACTTACATACTGGCATGATTCTATGCTCCATGATCTGGTCGATGTCCACATATCCATCCATGGTTGGCGGCCGCATAGATCTCCTTGAAGGAAACTTAGCTGACAGACTTCCGTTCTGCAAAAGGAAGGAGTTTTTTGGAGGCGTGATAGACCGGATAAACACGGAGGTGAGGCGGTACGCGGATGACGTATGATGGGTCATCAGGGTGGTCAGAACCCACAATGTCTAGGACATGCCATGGCCCAAATTACTGCGGCATCAGCTTGCGAGAGATGTTCACTTCCTGTGTAAACTCAGAAGACTTCTCCCATACCCTTTTCCCCAGCGTATAACTTAGATTATCTTCGACGTTTGTTCGCCGAAGCTATCATTCATGGCATTGTGAGATTTCTGATCTGTTCCACTGTGTCTGCTGCAGCATTTTATCATACTCTATCGAGTCTATCCCAAATTCTATACTTCCCGGTGCTGCAGTCGGTCTCGTATCAGCTAGGAGAAAGTCTAACGGGGTTCTAGACTTCCAACCTAAGTGTAGCTGTTGAGGTGACTGGCATGAAGTACTACTGTGTACTGCGTTGTTATACAGACTAGCAATCCGAGGCAATTTCTCATCCCA